ATGGTGATTATCAACTGACATTTGTTGAATACTGACTATGGTTCAGTCACCATTAACTGATGTTTGACTATAAAGTCTTATTTAATCTTTGCAATGGCTTCATGTAAAACCCTATTTTACTAAGGGGAAATAGATTTGGGTAATATCAGTCATTCATTCAGGTTTATCTAGCTGATCAATGGCATATGGGGAACTGAACATAGTTCTTTCTGACTTCCAAAACCATAAACTAGGTTGTGTTGACTTGAAGCCTTTCCCAAGGAGCCAAATTTATAAGCAGCTTTATGATTACTTTTAAGAGTCTAAAAGAATGTTGTGAAATCCATCACATGATTCACGCCAACGATGTCATGAATCTTTCTCCAGCTGAAGCTGCTTGTGAAAGCTGCCAACAGAGCCCTCCATTGGATACTGAGGTCCCTGAGGACTCTCCAAGTCCTTCAGACACGGCAGCACTCACTCAAAGGGGGTAGGAGGTACCAGTGGGGTTGTTCTCTTCCAGGAACCACCTTGTCTAAAGGGAGATTGTGTGTGTGTGTGTGTGTGTGTGTGTGTGTGTGTGTGAAGTGAACTAGTTAAAAACAGTTAACTTTTCCAGACATGCAGGTCTTCATTTATCTAACAATTATCTCTGAATGGTCATGTCTAGCCATGTATGCCCCATCAGGTTTACAATGGTGGGAGTGAGTGAGTCCTTGTTCCCATGAAATCCACCTTGCTGTGAAGAGATAAGCAACAAACAAACAAGGAAGTAAATAAGGCCAGATAAAAAGCATATTGAAGAAAATTAAATTGAACTGTTCTGATAGGGTGACTGAGTGGCTACTTTAGTACAAGTCACAAGACAAGGGAAGGTCTTTCTGGGAATGTGATATTTATCTTTTGTTTTGTTTTGTTTTTGAGACAGGGTCTCTCTGTAACCCCAGTTGGGCTGCCATTCACTATGTAGACCAGCTGACCTTGAACTCAAAGAGATTCACCTGCCTCTGCCTCCCAAGTGCTGGGATCAAAGGTGTGGGCCACCACACCTGACTGTGGTATTTACCTTTATGACAATGACACCTGTGCCCTTGGAGTTACTGTGGGCTCCTTTGTATAATCCAGTTCCTACCCCAATTTCCCTTTCAAAGTTCTCTTTGTTTATTGTGTGAATCTCTAATCCCTAGAGCTGTGAAGGATCTAGAATTCATTCCATGCTATCTTTGTAGAAATGAAGAAAGATCAATCTGAGAAAAGTGAACCATTCAGGCCACATGGCTACTTAGTGACCAAACTGGAAGCTCTTAACCCAAGTTTCCTCCCAAAACCCAGGTTCTTCCCAGTAATCTAATCTCTCCAGTACCCAGCCCTTCCCCATAGAATGTTAAGCCTCATCCCTACCCATCTAGTCCATAGACACTAGTTAACAGCTAATTTTTCCAGACATACTGACTCTTCATTTATCTAACAATTCCCTCTGAAGGGTCACTTCTAGCCATGCACTCACCATGTACTCCTAGGCCCTAGGGGACCTAGTGGAATGGCAGTAGGAACCTTGAGAATGATATCTTGGGGGCTGAGCCAACAGTGGAATACATGAAATCTATCCACCACATCTAGCTATGGTTGGTCCCTGCCACTCTTCCTTGTCCATGAGTGACCCAACCAACCAGGGCTTCTGAATTTGGGCGCTGCATAACTCTATAAATTCAACAACCACTAAACATTTCTCAAAAATGTTCCTTGGTTTAACCAATTCAGTATGAAAATATCTTATTCTATAATCTCAATCCCCCTTTCCATGCTTGACAAAAAGATTAACCACAGAATTTCTTTAAATAGCAAGTTCCTTTGGTACATTTAACATATGATCTATAAACAATCTACATAAAGATTTTATTTCCCCTTTTAAAAGAAAACAGTTATTTGTCAAGGGCAACAGAATAAAACTTGGACTCTTAATGATAGATTTTGGATGCTGATTATGTAATAGTTCTCATTCATTCCACAAATATTTATTGAACTGCTTTATGCAATGCATACATCCAGATCACCATGAGAGCACAAGGACAGAAAGATACAGTCTCTGCCCTCTTTGAGCATGCATGCAGGCACACAATTCTAACAGAAGGCAGGTATGATGAGGTCATAATAGAAGCAGTGATCGAAGCTATAGGGGATAAGGGAGTGATATGTTATACCACAGCTAAGAACAAGAGAAGGAGGAATCAACATGTTCAAAGGACACTTATGACAGACAAAAATCCAGCATAGAACTGGGGAAATGGACAGCTGGCCCCAATCTTAGCTGAAGAAATATTGGCAACTGATGACTGCTGAGTGAGAAAGAGCTAATCTTCCTAAAGTGAGGGACTCTAGGTAGGCTGACTAGACCTCAGTAGATGAACTTGAACTGAGGAATGTTCTGGGAACACTAACTTGACACAATAGGCCTTCACATAAATGACAGAAAGTATGAATTCCAGTGGGGCAGCTATGGGAGGGTGTCAGTAGGGGAGGCGGTATAAAGATGATTAAGATTGAGATGTTCTGTATGAAATACACAAAAATTCAATTAAAAATTTAAAAAATAATGCTTATGATTTGTCTAATTGGAAAATTCATTCCAGGAAAGGGAACCATGACATACTGTACATGGGGCAGGCCCACCACCACACATTCTCAGAGCAGAAGGAGCCCAGGGTAGAAAACGAGGAAAAGATGACAAGCCTTGGAGGATGGACAGAACACTGAATGCAAGAATGGATGAGATGTGAACCCAGTCTATAAACCATGATAGCCTTGAGAGTGCTGAGGGCAGGGAAAGAATACATAATTTAATTGTGTGTCAGTAAGTTCATGCTAACAGCCATGTATGTGGCTGATCTGGATGGACAAAGGCAGGGACAGAGAAGTCCATTAAAATAGGACAATGATTAAGGGCTAAAACAGGTAGAATTGATGAGACAAAAAACTTAAACTCTGGAGGGAAGATTATCTCCTAGAAAGATGAGGGCCCCAGACCTCAGATTGGATCCTAGAGAAGAGAACTCAGCAAGCCTCTAAGTAATTCTTTTTAAGGACCATTGTGAGATGCCAACTGCTTGAGATAGTAGTCATCATGACCCCAATACATAAGAGCTATCCCAGCTGGATCTTCTGAATTCTCTGTTCTTAACTTCTCTTTTGGAGACATACACAAGTTCCTGTTGGATGTGAGGGGCCATTATGGTATCTCGACAGCAGGGAAAGGCAACTTTATTGGGATGGACTATAGGGGCCAGGAACAACTATTCCTGATCACATGGAAACTCAGTGGAGGAAGGGTAACCCTTAATCAAGAACATCAGTAATACTTAAACCTTTCAGCTCTGTCTGATGATAGCAATAATATGACCGACCAGGGGCTCTCAATATAAAGAATCAGGTCTTAAATTCTACTATCTGAGCCACAAATGTCCAATAAGTGAGCATTCGAATAGCTTAGCTGTCCAGGGCTCTCTGTGACAAGGTTATGAATTGTGAAGAGTTTACCTCTAGTCTCTTTTCTTAGCTACTTGCTCTTTGAAGTAGGCCAGTTCGAGTACTGACTGTCCCCCAAATTATATGGATTAAAGGTTGAAAGAATATACATTAATGACTTGTCATCAGTCTGGCATACTGGGAGATGATGGAATCTGTAGGTGAGACCTAGTGAGAGGAAGTTATGTCATGGGAGAGTGCCTTTGAAGAAGTGTTAGACCAATGCACTCTCTGTTTCCTAGACACCATGAGGTGAACAGGCTTCTTTTGCCACAGGCTCCCACAATGATATCTGCCTTACCATAGATCCAAATCTATAGGGCCAGGTGACCACAGAGTGAAAACTCTGGAACCATAAACTAAAATATACCCATTTCTCTATCAAAGTTAATTATCTCGGGTGTTTTGTCACAGTAACTAAAAAATTTTGAACATACTTAGTTTCCACTCACATTAAAACTGTACTGACATTGTGACACCTGTTCTCAGCCAACTGGCCAACAGAGTCTCTGGAACTGGTCTTAAATCAGTTTCCCAGCATGCTTTCAATAGAGTAAGATTATCATGAACAAAATGGTCTCATGATAAGGTGATTTTGGGAAATGTCATATTAAATAAAATTAAAGACATCTCTGAACTCTCAAATTAATTTGTTCTCCTGGATTGAGAAGCTGTAAGTAACATTTTCTGGTCTTATTTATTTGCAGAACCATTTGTCAGAGTGTTTCAAGGGAACAGATGCCAGAAAAGCATACCCACAAAAAAGTCAGCGATCACTCTCAGATACTAAATCAGGAATCCAACAACTAAATCCAATGGTTGCTGCATGCTCACTGTGTACCAGGCACTGTTAGATTAGTATATTAATCCGTATATCTATAATATGAACATATTATTATTCCCATTTTATAGATGAAGAAACCAAAGCACTGCGTAGTTAGCTAATGGTTCCCCAAGGTCTGAACTAGGCAAGCAAGTGAGCAGCGATGTTAGTGGAAATTAATTTCTAATGGTAGAATTTCAACACCTGTGATAAACTGGTACCAGGGAGATTATGATCAGAGCCTTGTGTGACAACTTTGCAATCAAAGACCATTTCAACCCATCTGTTTAAAAATTAGGTTTTATGGGCTTCCTGAGCATTGAAATATGCACGTTTTAAATTGTACCACCTGTTTGGTTTCTTCACCAAATTGTGTTATATTGTATCATATTACGTGTGGATCATCTTCCATGATAACAGACACAACCATCAGAAATCAGCACAACCATCAACAATAATCAGAAATACATAAAGAAAACAACCTCATGGTTAATCAAAGTAGTAAGAATATTAAGATACAAGTTTGAGGCCCTGCTTCTTTGGGCTCACAAAATTTTGATCTCTGGTTCCTGATGTCTAGAGATGAAAACCAGGAGGCTGTTTTCCTTTAATGTGCTCAAAGTTTTATATCCCTGCCCCTTTACTTTGCTCAAGAATTGCAAAAGACATGTCCTACCCTCTCCCACTTCCTCTCCTTGTTCAGCAGGATTATCACCAGCTTGGGGTGCATCTGGTAGCCATCTTCACTGAAGGACAAGTTTCTCCCCTCAAAAGTGACATTGATCAGATACCTGCAATGATAAAATTTAAAAATTAAAACAGGAAGAAGGAGTACGAACAACAAGTTGATAAGAAGCCGTTATGGAGACAGACCAGGGGAAAGATGCAGAGGTGTCATTAGCAAATTAGTACTCTTCAAATTCCCATCTCATTATGCAACAATCATCCAAGTTTACAATAGGAATCACATGACAAAACACTAACTTCAAATAAGGGCAGGTGGTTTGGGTTTAGCCCATGGCTCTGTCTTTGACTAAATCATTTTAGATTTTTAAAAAAGGTTTATTTTAATTGTGTGTACACATGTGTGCCCATGTGTAAGCATGTGCACATGAGTGCAGGTACCTTTGGAGGTCAGAAGAGGGCACCTGATCCCCTGGAGCTGGAGTTACAGGTGGTTGTGAGCCCCTGGCTGTGGGTTCAGGTCTTCAGCGAAAACAACGGGCACTCTTAAATGCCAAGTCATCTCTCCAGGCCTCACTTAGCCTTTTGAACCTTTTGTTTATTCATGTCCTATCTGTAAAATGTCTGGTAATAAAAGAAATACCTCATTAAGTCTGTAAAACTTAAAGGAGACAACTAAGCTAAGCACTTACTATGGGGTCTGGTGCATAGTAAATGTTCATTGAGTGTTAACAATTATTATTCAAAAAAGTAGGTGGAATAAAGGGGTGGAGGAGATTGACAAGGAAAGAAAGTAGGTATGTACCAAGACAACTTTCTGCTAAGAATGGTGGCATGTAGGCGCTTAGGGTACCTCTCCATCCCCCCAAATATGCACATTCTTTAAATTCTCACTAAGGTCTTGCTCAGCCCTTGCTTTTAAGAGTTGTGAGTACAGCAGGCAGGATACAGCTTGAAACCAGGCCTTGTGTAGGGTGTACAGTGTGCAGAAAATAAATACCTGAGGGTGGAAAAAGGAGAGGGAGGTGTTTCACTGAGTGTTCTGGTGACAAGGGACGGAAATTAGTGGAAATTCCTAAGGTAACTAAAGTCAAACCAATGAAATAGTTTCTGAAGAACCCCTGCCCCCAGCTGGCTGCAGAGGTCTGAGAAGCAGCAACTTCACCAGGAATTCCCATAGGTCTGCTCATTACAACTGCATTAGTGCAACGGAGCTGGTGGTAATTAATGTCCCTTTACCATAAGGGCCCAAAGAATCGATAATGATTAGCTCTGTGTTCTCCTGATGTGCTGCTCGGGAGCTTTGGGCCTAAATGCTTCTTGTGAGATGTGTCTCTACTAAGAAGGAAATTAGGCATCTTACAAAAGCCAAGGAGGAATCTGAGAGAGCCATAGAGGTTAAACAAGGTTGCAAGACATCTAGGCAGCACGAACCAACTCCTTGGGATCACTTCTCACTTCTAGAACTGTCTGAGATGGTTAAGCTTGCCATGCCCCATCTGATGTGGCTTTCCAGATGTCACTGGAGAACACAGTGATTCTTAGAATTGAGAACCGAGACTTCAAGTCAGCTAGCCCAGCATTTCTTGTCATCCGTGTTTTTCTCTACAGTATCTTTGACTTGTCTTCTAGGCACCTCTTGAATCCTCCTACTGATGGAGTTCTCACTATGGTGTCCCCCACCATAACGTAGCCAATTGCATGGTTCTGATTATTACTATTACTTTTACCCCTTTGCAACTCTTCAAAACCTGTTTCCTTTTGGTCTTAATCTAGTTCTTATCTACGAGAGTTCTTCAAGCATTTTAACACACACACACACACACACACACACACACACACACATACATCCTGCATCCCTTATAAAATCGGTTTTAATCTGTGAAGAAACCTTAAGTTCATTTACTTCGATAATTTTAATTTTATGGATTAGTAAAGAGAAATATTAAATGATTCACCCGATATTATATTACTAGTTGGGAGAAGAAGCAATACTTTAAGCAATATCCTGGGCCCCACAGCCTTTCTACCATATCATCCTTGTTCTCACAGCAACAAGGGGTTTAACATCCCCTGTTCCTTACACAGTCATCACAAGCCATGGCCACAAGTTCCCTCTTCTATTCAGTAAGTAGGATCCCTGGTCCAGCTCAAGACCCCACACAGCATCTTCTTCTTTACGCTGCTTCTCATCTCTTAGCTCAGTGATGCTTGCCCAAATTCATCACTAGTCTGGAGATAATATTCAGGTCTCCTGTAGTTTGCAATAACTCCAAACCCAATCAAAAATCCCTGCAGTGTTCATTCAAAGGAATATAATTACAAAACCACAAGTCAGAGAATTTTAAACTAATAAACTACAGTTTAAGCATCCAGCATCATTAACTTGGAAAATATATTCTTACTATAATAGTACTGGATTATTTAAAATTACTTCTAGAGGTCTTCAGAGAAAGATTATGAAACAGAAAATAGTTTAGCTAGTCCCAGTTCTTTTTTTAAAGAAGGAAGGAAAGGAGGGAGGGAGACTTGAGGAAAAGGAGAGAAGGAGGGAAGAGGGGAGGAAGGAGGGAAGAGGGGAGGGAGGAAGGAAGAGAGGAGGGAGGAGGGAAGAGA